GTGTGTGTGTGTGTGTGTGTGTGTCCTTGTTTTCCCTACATCTTGGGGCCCAGTTTTAAGGAAAACGCAGCCTCGTGGGGTCCGGGTGCTCCTTGGGCCCCACAACTTCGGAGGCTGATTTTGGGTGTGGGGTTGGGTTTAGGACCAAGATGTGAATTGAGTTTAGGTTAATTTTAGCGTCAGGAAGGTATCTGTGAGGTTAGCCTTAGGGTTTGTGGTCAGGGTTAGGATATAAAATTACCAAAAAATGAATGGAAGTCAATGGACGGGCCCCACAAGGATATAAAAACAAGTTTGTGTGTGTGTGCGTGTGATATCTCTAAGTTTATTTGGTCCCATATGCTGGTTGGTGCTGCTGCAGTGTTGTCAGTTCATGGTGAAGTCATCGGAACAACAGCTGGGGCTTTGGCTCGAGCCCTAAGTTTTTTTCTAAAGGCCCATTTATTTCCCTTTTGCCACCATGTGAGCTGAACAAAGCTGCTCTCTGCCTCTCGAGCTCAAACATAACATCTGCTGTCAGTCAGACTTAATGAAACAACTGCAAGAACGACTATTGATTTGTCTTTTCAACCTCAGCCAATTAAGGCATTTACAAGTTGAGGTTTAACTGCAGGAACTGATCAAGTGGTTCTGAAATCTAGAGGTGTTTAGTAACTAAGTACATTTACTTTGTAACAGTACTTAAGTAATATTTTTGAGGATTTGTAATTTTACCATCAATTTTATTTATTTTTTATCGTAACTTTTACTTTTCTTTTTTTACATTCAAAACAAAAATGTTACTTTTACGTGTTTACTTAAAAATTTTAACACCTGAAAGTCCCAGAAAGTGATGGCTGCCTCAACCAATCAGCATGTCATCGATAAGTTTTTCATCGATGATGTTAATGTGCTTTCTTCTTTCAGAGGAGATGGAACAGCTGCGTTACTTAAATACTGTTAAAAGGTTCTCCTCATGTGAAATGTTTTCTGTTAGTCTTTCCAGAGGGTTGTGGGACAAGACGAAGCGACTCCGGACTCTCTGAAGGACGCGGTCCTCTCCACCTTTGAGCCGCTGCACATGTTCCACACGGGTTTCCTCAGGGAGGTGGAGCAGAGGCTGGCCCTGTGGTGAGGCTGCTTTCACTCCCTCACCCAGAACAAGACTTCCCATGTAGKGTGAAGGATGAGCTCAGTCACATGTTGCTTTGGTTCTGGTCCACTTCATCACAGGCTCTGCTTAGGTTTTTTTTTTATGACTCTTATTGGCACACAGCCTGAGAGTGCAACCCAATCCCTTTAGGTGTCCTGTCTTTAACGATGCTGCTTTTTGTCTTCGCRCACACACCTCCCTTCTCTTTCACACAGTCCGCTCATCAAGTTGTTAAAAATGTAACCATTTAAAACGGACAGGCTGTGGTYGATTTTTCACAGCTCCATAAACTCACAACAAAAGCTGAGAGTGCGCTTTAATCCACATGCTGATGAACATACAAATTATCCAGAGCTACTCTGCTTTGCATAGTCAAAATATAGAAGGAGATCTGTGCATCTGGTTTTAGAAAGCTGCATGTCATAAATAAAGTTAAAAACAAAGAGATTTCTGACTTAAAATTCTAAATTGTTTAAAGAAGTCTAGTGATGGCATTTAAAGACCTCTGGGTCTTGTTTGTATGTTTTCATGCTCACGGGAGACACCTGCTGGTAGATTGTTATTTTCTGACAGTAAACCCTTCTGAATAATCAATGAACTGAAAAATGTTTTGTGTAGGTTAATCAATTAGTTTACTCACTGTCCCAAAAGATCATGATTACATTTATGTAGGCATATTAAAGGGAYCCACGATTAGTTGTAACATTAGACTTTATTTGATAAACATATATGTAAAATAAAGACTGTAAAAATACTGTAGGCTTAGTTTTTATAACTTTTAAACCAAATTTTTAAAAATATATTTTAACACCGACAGCTATTTTATTTACATGCAAAGCATTCTGGGTAAATGATGATGTGGATAGGTCCTTGGTGTGAGGCTGCGAGCGAGCTATATCCACCCTGAAGGTTAATCTCGGTCCTCAGTTTAGCTTGTTAGTTTGTTGCGCTAGTTCCAAGCGAATACATATAAGGCAATGCGTTGGCGCTAAAGCTAACAGGCTAAGCTGGGGTTCTTCTTCCATGAAGCAGCTCTGTTGTCCTCCATCCATATTTTCAGTTACAAGCTGAGTCATTTCTTGTCATCTCTGTCAACGCTCTCTGGTTTCTTTTAAAAGCATCGATCATCAGATATTGTCCAAGATTAACCTTCAGGATGGATATAGCTTGCTCGCACCATTTACCCAGAATGCTTTGTCTATAAATAAAATGGCTCTGTCCGTGTTAAAATATATTTTTAAAAACTTACAAAACTGATACAGTATTTTTACAGTTTTTATTTTACAGTTAAAATATATGTATTTTAAATAAAGTCTAATGTTACAACTAATCGTGGATCCCTTTAAAGGAAAACTAGATGAGCTACAGTGAAGGAAACGAGTGCCTACTTTAATTACACTCAGGAGTAACGGCACAAATTTCATCCAAAAGTCACAATTTTAAAAGAAAATGAAGGAGGAAAAGAACATTTTCTGGAAGTGATTAAAGAAACCTGCTTTTATATTTTTTTGAAACAAAGTCCAACCGAAAGTGGACTTCTTCTGTGAGAGTTTAGATGTTCTCTGAGCATAACTGCATCATTTTTTTTGTCTCGGTCTTGTGTTTTTAGGGAGGGACGCTCTAACGCACACATTAAAGGAGACTACCAGCGTATCGGGGACGTCATGCTGAAGAACCTCCAAGCCTTGAAGGTGAGCTGGGAGCTCAGGTAAATCTTGCGTGATGATGCGTTCTTACTCAACAGCTCTGTTTGCAGCCTCTGACAGCCAACCTGCACAAGCAGTCCGACATCCTGCTGGAGCTGGAAAAGGCCTGCATGGCGTCCTGCAGGTTGGAGAGTCTGTGCAGAGACTTCGAGCTGCAGAAGGTCTGCTACGTCCCCCTGAACGTCTTCATCCTGCGGCCCCTTCACCGCCTCGTCCACTACAAGCTGATCCTGGAGCGCCTGTGCAAACACTACCCGGCCACCCACGTGGACTTCAGGGACTGCAGAGGTTGGTTCCCGTCGACGCCGCTTGGCTTTTTCCTCTGCGCTTCGAACGTCTCTTAACTCGCCAGGTTGTTCTGCAGCTGCTCTGGCAGATGTGACCGAGGTGGTGGATCAGCTCCAGGGGAGTCTGGTGAAAATGGAGAACTTCCAGAAACTTCTGGAGCTGAAGAAGGATTTGCTCGGTGTTGACAATCTCGTTGTTCCTGGTCGCGTGAGTTTAAAGCCGCAATATCTACCCTTTTTTTATCCACTTTTTTGAACGTTTATAATGCTTTTTTTATTATTATTATTTCAGGAGTTCATCAGGTTAGGCTGCCTTAACAAATTATCTGGAAAAGGCCTTCAGCAACGAATGTTTTTCCTGGTAACACCCCTTTTTTTGTGCATTCATAACACTAATCTAATCACATAGCTCAGAGGTCTGCAACCTGTGGCTCYGGGGCCATATGCGGCTCTTTGGTCCCTCTGCGGTGGCTGTTTGAAGTTTTGACCAACAAGAACATGAGATGATTCTTTTTGTTTTCTTACTCACAACAGAAAAAGCTAACTTTAGCAGTTTTCCTGTCAATTTGTTTGCAAATATGTGATTGGTACTAATAAAACCAGGAGTGAAACGTTGATTAGATCATGCTAGTAGGTTGTTGGCCTCTTCTATAATCCAACATCCAGTCTTACATTTTGATTGTTCTCTCAAATCCATCTGGATTTTATTGAAATGTCTTTTAAGACAAGTTGCTGTGAAGAAATTAGAAAAAAAAACAGGCCTGCATAATTCAGTGTTTTCATTTTAATAAAATTAGGTATAAACCACTTATTTTTTCTTGTTTACAGTATATTTTCTTTTGTCCTCAAGTGTAAAAATAATAATAAATGTTAATTTTCAGTAAGAATTTTTAGTTTTTTAATGTCAGCCACACAGACCAGAAAAGCCCTCCTTCAACAAACTTGAAGCAGCCGACGAGCCACCAGTTGATAATCAGGATTTTAACACTTTTTTGGCTCTGGACAGATTTTATTTGTGAGCCAATGGGCAGAAATGGCTCTCTTCTTTAAGGTTGCAGACCCCTGAGTCATAGCTGAATGATCTGAGCAGAAAGATAAATCCAGCTTTAGAATTAAAAATATAATGTGTTCCTGTAAACTTTTAGCACCTTTAAACATGCAGAGGAAGTGTTTTTATAGGTTGTAATCGTGGCGGTAGAAACAGGAGGTGTCGGTGGAGCATCATATATTTCTGCATCGAAGCATGTGATTTGGTTTTTGTCTAGAGGAGTCATTTACATTCTCTCTGTTGGTCTCGYTCTCTGTTTCCTTGGTGACAGTTCAATGACGTCATTTTGTACTCGAGTCGAGGGATGACGCCGACCAATCAGTTCAAAGTGCACGGGCAGCTGCCGCTCTGTGGGATGACAGTGAGTGTGGCGTCGCAGTGATGAAGGGCTGTCAGCAGTTTGTCATTATTGTAAACGAGCTGCCTCAGACAGCTGAACTTTAGCTCCCTCCACATCACGCAGAAAAAAAACACACACACACACACACACACACACACACACACACACACACACTGCACATTTCCTTCTCTCTCATTTCCTTTTTTTATTGGAACTCCTTCCCCCTCTCTCCCACTCTAGTCTATTTTGGGTCCGTGCTGTCCCAGATTTTGCTGCTCTTTAATGTCTTTTCTGTGTTTCTGTTTACTTCCTCCAGATCAGAGAGAGTGAGGATGAGTGGGGTGTTCCTCACGCCTTCACACTGGTTGGACAGGGCCAGTCGGTGGTGGTTGCAGCCAGGTAGGACCAAAGACACCATGGATCTATTCGATTCAGTTCAATTTATTTATTTATATAGTGGCAAGTCACAACAACTGTTGTCTCAGGGCACTGTGCACAAAAAAAACAAAACAATAAATCTAAAGAAGCCAGCAGACTGCGCCAAATCTTCAGTTCGTCACAGTCTCCCATCCTGAGCAGCACACCGGCAGCAGCAGAGAGGAAAAACTCCCCATTAACAGGAAGAAACCTCCAGCAGAACCAGGCTCAGGACAGGCAGCCCTCTGCCTCGACCGGCTGGGTTTGAGGACAGGAAAGAGACACAGATWAACACAGGACTGGTCCAGGTGTATTTTCCTCTGGAAGAGAAACAAAGAAAACACGTTAGTAGCTGCGTTTCCGTTGCAAATGTGCACAAAACTTCGTCGATATTCTGTTAATGTAAAAAAAAACACAGTTTCCTAATTGCGGTGTTTCCATTAAGTAAGAAATGCTATTAAAGTCACGCGTGAATAAGTTTGTTCTCGTGATAAGTCATTACAAACATGTTGGCAATGGATGTAAACACATAGCATATTTGCTACCATGGCACTAGCGCTCATCATCAGAGGAGACATCGGCGTCTTATCCAGGCTTTCGAGCGACAAGCCCCTTATACTGGGGAGCGGCTACGTATGCTGCGTTTTTGGGAAATTGTAGTCTGTGAATTTACTACTTTCTTTTACAACTTCTGTGACTTTACTACTACTTCTACTTCGTGTTGTCTTCTTTTTTTGTCATCTTTTTCGCCAGTAGAAACAGCCGGTCGTTGATCACGTGACTCCCGTGATGTGAAAAAGTGTTTCCATTGCAGTTTTGCAAAATACACTAATTTCGATACGTCCGAAAAACCACCTCATCCTAGCGCAAAAACATTTAGTCAAAAAAAGTAAGTTTTTTTTTCGAAATTGACGTGTTTCCATTGAGAAAATTTGTTTTTGAAATTCTAATTTGCRCATTTTCATGGTCAATGGAAACACAGCTATTGATAGAAGTAATTATAACAAACATGTAGAGAAAAGAGACTAAAGATAATAGCAGAGTGAGGAAATGTTGTCAGTTTGTGCTCCAGCAGTTCAGCCTATAGCAGCAGAACTGTTTAACTATAATAACTAAGGAATAACTCAGGAAACCTAAGTCTAACTATAGGATTTATCAAAAAAGGAAAGTCTTCAGTCTAATCTTAAAAGTAGACAGAGAGTCAGCCTCACGGACAGAAACTGGAAGTTGGTTCCACAAGAGAGGAGCTTGATAACTGAAAGCTCTGCCTCCCATTTTACTTTTAGAAACTCCAGGAACCACAAGTAAACCTGCAGTCTGAGAGCAAAGTGCTCTGTTAGGAAAATATGGAACAATAAGACGTTTAATATATGATGGAGCTTGGTTGTTGAGAGCTTTGTATGTTAGGAGTAATATTTTAAATTCTATTCTGAATTTGACAGGGAGCCAGTGGAGAGAAGCTAAAACYGGAGAAATATGATCTTTCCTTCCAACTCTCATTAAAACTCTAACAGCAGCATTTTGGATTAACTGAAGACTTCTTAAAGAGTTTTTTTGGATGCCCAGATAGTAAAGAATTTTAGTAATCCAGTCTAGACGTGATAAATACATGAATCAGTTTTTCTGCATTGTTTTTGGACAAAATGTTTCTAACTTTAGTGATATTATGAAGGTGGAAGAAGGCGGTCCTGGTAACATTTTTAAAGTGGTGGTTAAAAGACATGTCCTGATCAAAAATAACACCAAGGTTCTTTACATTAGAACTGGAGGCCAGATTAATGCCATCCAGAGGAGATTGAAGTGTTTGTCTATTTCAGTCAAMTGTAGCCCAAAAGACTGGATGCAGTTGTTACAAACTCATGTCTTTCAGTGACCCTTCAGAGTCGAGATGAACTCGTACTTTGACTCAAAAAGAACAAACAAACTAAAACATTTGTGTTTGTGGGACTAATTCTAACCTTAAGGCTTTTTTTCAGTTCTTTATCAGAGATGGAGAAATGGATGGAAGACATCAAGATGGGCATAGAAATGGCAAAAACCAGCAACGGGCCTTCGTCTGAGCTGCTGACCAGCAACCTGACAGACAGCAGTAAGTTGAATCAGAGAGGTGAAGAATTCAATTTAAGACCCATGAATTCTGGGTAAAACAACAGAAAACCCAGATGCACGTTGGTTTCCCAATGATCTGACACTGTGTTTTAGCCTCTTCTCTCCCCTCACCACCCTCCTCGTTGTCTAGTAGTAACAACCTCCTGACTTTCCCAGAATGCTCAGAAGACTCCTCGGCCGAGGCAGAGTCCGAGGACGACACGCYGCCTCCGAACGCCTTGCCGGAGAAGCCCTCCCCTCCCCGTGGTAACACCATGGTGCACGTGTGCTGGCACAGGAACACCAGCGTGTCCATGGTGGACTTTAGCATAGCTGTGGAGGTATCAGCTAAACCTCAGAACCTGCCCGTCCTCGTCTCGCCCTGCTGTTTTTTTTCCCTCCTGTGCTGTTTCTGAATTCTCCTCGATGTCTCTCTTGGAACAGTGTCCTCCTGAGCTGCACCGGACCAAACAGAACCAATGTAAAAGCATGCTAACATGTTACTCAAAACTTCTGCTTCTGTAAAAAGGTAAAAAAAAACAACAGATTAATTGGCTGAGGCAGGAGTCTGCAACATGCAGATGGTACCTCTGCAGCGGCTCTTTGAAGCTTTCACCAAAACTAACATGAAATTGATTTTTTTAGTTGCTGTTTTTTATAACCACAACAGCAAAGACTAGTGTTAGTGGTTTTTCAGCCCATTTGTTTGCCAATGTGTTTGGAAATATTAATACAAGCAGTGAAACAAGTTAATTAGATCATGCTGGTAGTTTGTTGACCACTTCAGTAATCCAACATCTGGACGTGAAAAACGACCAGACCRCTGACCCTGGCTCTCTACTTCATTTATTCCTGGCCGTGCTGCGTCACCATCATTACACAAATACTGCTCGACCAAACATTTCACCTCCCAAAACAGAAACACATATGACAACAAATGGGAAATCAATATCGGATGTTAATATCGGACCAATACCGATATGCTAAAAAAATGTCCAACGTCGGCCGAAACCGATGTTAATATCACGCAGCCCTTGTAAAAATGATATTAAATGTTCAAATTCATTAGATATTTTTGTTTGTATTATGTCACCCTGACTGGCCTGAACTACCCCTTCACCAAACTTAAAGTGGCCCWTGGACCACCAGTTGATAATMACAGTTGTAGCACATTTTTCAGGACATATTTTATTAGTGATCAAAGGGAAAGAAACAGCTCTTTAGAGTATAAAGGTTGCAGATCCCTGGCCTAAGTCATCCAGTTTAAAGTTATTTTTAGTTTTAATAAAAAAATATCACATTAAAAGTTCAGACAAACCTCTTAAGATTATTGTGGTTTTCCTCTCTGATATACCTAAGAACCACTAATTTGTCTATTCTTTGTGTTTTTGTCACAAACTGATAGGTTTGAACTTGGAAAAGTTGGTTCTTTTGTGATATAATCTCACAAAAGTTAACATGAATTCACCTGCTTTGCTTCCAAATGTAACTGGGGAACATTCATCTGTAAGGACAATAGTTTAATTGTGCAAATTCACTAAGTGTGGAGGCAAACTTTACACCTCCTGAAAAGAAAAAGATGTAAATTGAAAGACAAGTGGCTTTTCAAATTGGGACTGATCTCATACAGAGGGAGAAAACCAAAGTGGTGTATAAAAAGAGATGCTTCCTTTGCCAACTTTAATTAAAACTGATCAAAAAAATCTGAGGACCGCCTTCAAAAGAGGCTGAACTAGCCAAGTGTCTCACTTCACTGGAAGCCTTTTGCCGAATGAGAGGGTGTAAGTTCCACGAAACAGGGAAAAGATCCTTGGTTGGTGACAAATTGTGTTTACAAGCAGTGATACTTAAACCCAGAGTGCTTAAATTATCTTTATTGCCCTATTTCTTCTTTTCAACCGTAGACAATAAAAGGAGGAGAAATGCTTTCTGGAAATAAACTCATCTTTTACAGCAGCAGAAGTTTTGATGTCAAATCCAGCACACCAATTGTTTTTTATGTATTTATAAACCAATAAATGGAAATGATTTCTAAAGATTTATATTATTTTAAAGAGACTTGTATCATTCAGTTCATGTGAACTCAGGTGAAGTGTCTGTGTTCAGCCGGACAGAGTTTACTGTTTCAACCTGTTTTTCTCTCTGGCTGACAGCAGCCAGTGTTTGTCCTGATCTAACCTGCAAACGGCTGCTGTTCTGTGTGCGTCTGTCCTTTCTTCTCCCCTCCCTGGTTTTTAAAATCTGTCCTTTTTTAGTTGCAGAGAAAACAATCTGTGCTGTCTTCGTCTTAACAGATCGGATCCTGTTTTGTGACCCAGCTGTGTCCTGCACCGGCTCTGCTCTTCCTCTGTAACGATGTCCTCTTCACAGCTTTGCCTGGACACACTGTCTGCCTCCGTGTTTAACCCCTCTGCCACCGCATGCTCGTGTGGAACCTACTCAGTTTCTGTGTTTCTGTCCCCCCACCCTGTCTGTTTTTTTTCTCTTGTGCATTCCTTCGTGGTAGAGGAGCCTAGTCCGGTCTGTGACAATAAGGCCCCCATGGTGGGGCCCACGAACGGCCAAGGACCGGTTCCTCTCTCTGTTATCTGCTGGTACCGTGTTCAGAGCCTCTCCTTTAGTGAATCCTGCAGGAGTCTGGAGGTAAAAGAGCCAGGCAGACAGGAGAGGCTGTTTTATTCCTATAAATATACACACAGTTTACACAATAGATGTAAAGTGCATAGAGCGCACTGTACTTAACCTTATAAATATTGCTGCAATCAAAGCATGGTGGCGGCAGCRTCATTATACAGGATTGTTTTCTACAACCTGAGATGGYCGTCAGTGTGACCGAAAACTAACAAGTTTAAAGCAATCCATCCAGAAAMTATGTTCCTTTACACTGCATTCAARCAGGAAAACAACCACATTCATTCTAGACARTAATTAATAAAACAASTAGATACCGCATAGTKGTAACATAATGACCCTCGCACGCACAAATGCACCAGAACTCAGAAGTCTTTATTCCTAATAAATGTCATGCTACCAGATGCATCCCAAAATTGTAGTGGTTTGGGTGGGGGTCTTTTTTATTTATTTATTTATTTATTTATTTTTGCAGGGGGGGACATTGGTTAACCTGATGGATAGCCCCTCATCAGAGCTAAACTACCAAAGATGATCTGAAGCTCCTATGTTTAATAGTTTTTGAGCTATAACCATTTTTGTATGTCCAGATACCCTTTTTTCAGATAAATTGGGGTTTGGGGGGTATTGTTTGGTGGTCCTGATGGATAGAGCTTCATCAGAGCTAAACAACAAAAGAAATCTGAAGCTTTTATGTTGAACAGTTTCTGAGTTATAAGCATTTTTGCATGTCCAGACACCCCCCTCTTTGAAAAGGAGCCCCCTCCTCAAATATGGGGTGTACCGTAAAACCGTTGGCTGGCGCAATGTAGGTCCGACTCATCTACAGCCCTTCCAAATTTCATGTTGATTGGTGGAGCCATTTTTGTGCTACGGTTGACCAAAAATCACTGAAAAAAAAAAAAAGTACGAAAAAAAAAAAGACTCCCGCTTATGCTTCGCGTGCGGGGGTCATAATGATGATAGCTGGAACAATTTTTGGTTGATTCCATACTAAAGTGTAAAACACAGGGCCTCATAAGGGATATACTTTTTTTTTTACCAGTTGGTATTTAGTCCAGCAAAATTCCAGCAAACCTAGTTTACATACAGACAAAAAAAAAAAAAAAAAAAAAAAAGATGATGGCACAACATTTAATTATTTTCTTGAATAAATAATGCAGTAGGCCTCATCAAAGTGAACTTTTATACATTTATACATATACAGGTTTTGGAGACAATTAGCTGAAAAAAACATGCTTCCTCTAC